ATATATATATATATATATATATATTTTTTTTTTTCATTGAACTAACTAACATTGTTTTTTCACTGTATCTCTGTTTGCTAGCCCTCCTTTTCCACTCCTTTTCAACAGTCTGCTCCTGCACAAGCATCAAGTAACTTTTCTTTTGGTAACCTTGGTCAGGCACAAATAGGTAAACCAAATCATTAATGTAATTTTTTATTTCCTTTGTGAACCTTATTTTAAGTGCCTTTTATAGTAACTTAGGTCATACGTGAACATACAGTTAATTTATTATTTCACATTTACCATCTTCATTTCAGCTCCTTCTGGAGGGTTTGGTAGCTTCCCCAGCTCCTTTAATCAGGGAACTTTTGGACAGAGGTATGTTTCTATTATATATTCAAATATTCCGAACGTTATCTTGAAATTTGATAAATTTAGGTAGTTGTTAGCTTCTTTAGAGTTGTTGGAGGCATCGGCATCTGTCTACTCTAAAATACATTTATTTCCCCTTTTTTTCTTTAAACAATCAGTGTCAAGTTATAAAAAGAGTCAGTGGTACACGAGGAATTCCATAATGTCTTTTTTTTTTTTTTTACTTTTTGAAACTCGAAGATTGCAGGATCCTCCAATATCTGTACGTGGAGACAAGATATGCTATGCTTAATAAAACAATAGCTTTTATGCAATAAAATGGGATGTGTTGGTGCTTAAGGATTTTTTTGCAGCAGTCATATGGATTGAATGCACGTAGCCATTCTGCATAATGAGGTTTCAGGAGTTCAAGTACACTGTATCACTGGTTATCCATAGAATTATTTTTATTGTGGTGAAAATGGTGCATTCTGCCATATTTTAGAGGAAATTGATTTCCTCTAGTTAGGTAAATATCAAAATCACATTTTCTTTTGGTCATTTTTTATAGTCTGGAACTGAAAACAATTTCACACATGTTTATTAGCCATTTTCCTTGGAGATTGGCCTTTGGGATTAGCATGTCCATTTTCATTTATTGTAGCAAAATATAAACAAACAATTTGTAGAATACAAATGTTGTTTTTGCAATTTCTTTTGTTTAAGTTACTTTTTTTGTTTAAGATTGAAATTTCGTAGTCTTAAGTTTTACTCTCAATATATCCTTTTTATCCTAATTTTTTTTACGTTGCTGTCTGTGTAATTGGATAAAGTTCATTTACAGAATTTCCCGTTGCAATGCCTGCAGATAATATCCTGGTGGTTTTCATATATTCATCTCAGTTATTTTGGACATGTCTCTGCCAATGATAAATAATATTTTTTCAGAGGAACAAGTCTAATAAATGTAACACTTCTCTGGGAAAAGTTAAAATGCAATCACTTGAAATTTTCCAATTAATATTTGGGGGATTTACGAACCGTACAATATTGATGTATTTACTTATATCACACCTGCATTTTGATAGCTACTTGTATCGCATTTTAATGTCTCAATCATATCAAATGTACAGATCAAAGGTTTATTTCAGTTTAGAAAAGTTAATTTTAATGAGATTTTTTATATGATTTAAGGACTTTGGTGTCACATTAGTAAACATTAATGTTTAGATGTTAGACGTAATTAATTCTTCCACACAAGAATTGTGTGGTATATATATATATATAACCCCAAAAATATTTCAACAGGGAATGCTCCCGTAATGAATTCTTCATATGATAGTGTTAGAATTCTGTATTAATAAATATTTTAATATTCTGATAGATAGTCTGACTGATAATTTCTTATTTGCCTTTCTTGTGTGGCAGCCCTGCTATTCAGGCTAACATTGTCATGCAACCCACGTCCATAACAAATCCTTTTGGAACGCTTCCTGTGATGCCTCAGATGTCTATTGGTCGTGTGGGCTCTTCTGCTCCATCAGTTCAATATGGAATTTCCAGCATGCCTGTAAGTTTTTTGAAATCTTACCAGTTATATTTAAGTGACCACTGGTTATGCTCTTGTATTATGTATTTTTTTTCTTGAGTAAAGTGTCAAAATAATCCTCTGACTATTATATGGGATCATTTTATTCCCAGAGTGTATAAAGTGTCAAATTACTCCCCAGATTCTTTAAATTGGGGTTGAAATAGTTCTTCGTGAGGGCTATTTTGTCTTATATTAAAAAGATTTTGGACTAAATTGACACTTTTTTAAGCTCTAGGGCTAAAATGACCCCCTGCGAATAGTCAGGAGACTATTTTCACACATTTTCATTTTTCTGTCACTATTTTTTGCTAGATAAACATAGCAATTGATCTTGCTTGCTTTAAGAAATGGTTTTTTATTAGTGCCAAAAATGACATTTCAAATGGGCATAATATTTTATTTCGTTTTTATAGGTTTCTGACAAACAAGCTCCAGTGGGGTATTCATCTTTAGTGGCTTCTAGACATGTATCACAGAGAAGAATCCGATTGCCAGCCAGGAGATAGCGTAAAGGCAATAGTGAAAGGGTTAGCTTATTCTAAATCTAAAAATCGGGATCTCTTGCTCGATTTTCATCAACTGATTATT